CTATCTTACATGGGATTCACTGATGCACGTGGCATGTTGACACCCTTTCTAGAGAACCTGGAACTTCCAGGAGTTTTGGTCCTTGTGATCCAGGCAATCCATTGTGGTGAAGCCCAGCTTCCAGGCCTGCTGGTCCTTGTAGTCCAGGCAGTCGACAGAGGTGAAGCCCAGGGAAGAGGCAGTGCTGTAGCCCTGTGAAGACAGAGATGCTGGGGACTGGCTTAAGGAGCCCCCCATAGAGGGCACAGCAATGGGGCTGAGAGCACCTCCGGTGCCTGACAACTGTGAATGCATGGGGGACAGATAGGCGCTGCAGTCCAGGCCAGTGAAGTAGGAGGTTGTGCTAGCATAGCCCTGGGTGTAGGCTGACGGCTGGCCATAGCTCATAGGGTAAGGTGAGGGCCGCTGCATGCAGGGCGCCGAGGAGGAGGCCAAGGGGTCTGGCAGGGGTGAGATGGCTGGGCTCCAGATGGACACGGCAGTGTTTCCGGTGCTGGAGCTCGGGGCCAGGCTGGGGCCAGAATGGGCTGAGGAGGGGCTGAATGAGCCAGATGGGTTAGGAACGGGATCAGGAACGCTAGGCTCCTGCGCTGGCGAGGCCTTCTTTTTGGGAGGCCGGGGCTTGGACTGGCCGCTGCTCTGCTGCTGCTGCTGGCGGCACTTGGCACGGCGGTTTTTAAACCAAACCTGAGGTCACCAAAACAAAATAGATTCATGTTACCAGTCATGCAGACATGTCATAACGTATTAATAATCAGAGGTTTGGGTTACAGAGGCACAGACATAGACTTCTATGCAGACGTTCATAACACAGCTCACTATGAGGAACCCACAAGGCCTGAACACAGTGGCCTCCATCTTGGCAGTAGCCTACTTCTCCAGTACCTGGACACGTGACTCAGGCAGGTTGATCTTGAGGGCCACCTCCTCCCTCATGAAGATGTCTGGGTAGCGGGTCTTTGAGAAGAGCGCCTCCAGGATGTCCAGCTGTGTGCGGGTGAAGGTGGTGCGCTCCCTGCGCTGCTTCCTGGGAGTGGCTGAAAGAAATGACATAGAGAGGGGATTATCGTGCTAACATCAACAGAGGGGCGGCATGAATTATGAGTCTTTATGTGAGTGATTTGAATCATCTTTGTAGAATAAGAACACAACAAGCGCTCAAGTGATTCTTTGGACAGTTTTATTTTCCAGCTGACAACAAATACTAAAAAGTATTAATAGAAATATTTCCGTCTTGTGTGGTGTCATTTTTTGATATGTTTTCCCCACGAAAAAGACAAAAAATAAATAGAATAAGTCTCAAAATGAAGTATCGAAGTCAGAGGTTGTTGGAGGAGTTCGCTTTACTTTGAAAAGCAGAAACGGCGACTTTTTATTTCATAAAATAGGATTTCCATTAAAAGTGCTGTGAGTCTACCCTTCATGGTGCATAGAGCCAGCTGCCTTGTTGTATTTGTAGAAGAACAAGAATTATTACAAATCTTTTATATATTAGAATTTCTAATATATAAAATACCAATCTGAGCGTTAATGAAGCCGCTAAGAAACGTTAACAACAACAATCTGTGTTCATCTGAATTCAGAACTAATAGTTTTCCATTTAATTAAAAAATAAATCTCACGTATAAATTTATCCACAGAGCCGCATAATGTGGAAGTTTAAAGACCGACGGACAAAATATCTCTTACTACGACAGTTCTTCAGAAATATT